GAATAAACTATTAAACAAAAAACAAAAACAAAACAAAAAATAACTTTTGGAATAAAGTCGATTCAACTTGGCTGCAACAGCTAAACGGCCAAACAGGAGCACTCGCGATATGTCGTGAAATCCCGCGAGATTTGAAAGAGCTTTTTTTTGCTGTAAATTTGTTTCTTCTTCCTGTTTTCAACTTTAAGCTTCAACAACCGGCAGGTTTCATCCCTGAGGTAAGCTAAACCTGAACATAACAACTGAAGGTTACATTTCGATTGATTTAAAACACAAACTTTATAAATGTTCAATATAAGTTGTGATTTTTGACAGTCAGGAGCAGCAGGTGGAGTTAGATGAGCTGAGAAAACAAATTTTAGAATAAAGTCCTCACATTGTGTGTTTGTTGTTTTTAGTACAGGGGCGGTAGATGATGTCATGCAATTTAAATATGCCGTTTTTGTCATGTTTTTTTTTTTTACTCTTAATATTTTTGGTGCATTTAAATAAACACATCGAGGTACATATAAAAGTCTGTGCGTGACGTCACTGCCCTCTGGCGGTCATTAGGAGTAAAAACTCATTTCTTTTTTCTATCATATTCATCATAAATTAAATGCATTCATCCTGTCATTTTAATTTGATATTTATTATTTCTAGCTGAGATAGCTCTACAAGACTGAGTTTATTGTGAAAAAATATTTTATAAATAGCGTTTTTAGGCAAGTAAATAATGCGGTTGGTTTATGGAAACACTAAAGTTCATAAAATAAGACTTCCAGGGGTTAACTGGGTTTTGAGAAATCATCTATTTTTAAATAACAGTTTAATATATTTTTTACCTGAGTCTAGACAAGGTGAAACAGTGGTGGAAGCGTCTTACTGCAATTCTTTTAACAGGGAAAAAAAAAGTTTTATCTATATTCTCAGTAGCAGTTTGAAAAAGAAACCAAAAATTAAAAAGTCTTTTTTTCACTCGAAATGTTAATCTGCAAAATTTATCGTATTATGGAGGTATGAATGGTTCTTTATATTAATATGTACATTATGCTTGGTAGTTTTGTTGTTGAGACTGTCGACCGTTTGTTCCTAATAAAGTTCTAAAAAAATTGTAAATTAATTAGTTATGTGGTTCATTAAAGCCACATCTTTTTTTTCATCATTTTGAGCACATTTTCTGAGCAGTCTGATGAGCTGTTTAAATTACCTCCACAAAACAAAACAGATTGAATCACGCAAAAAAAAAGTTTTGTTCCAAAATTTTATTGATTTATTTTACAAAAAGAATTTCCAATGTTTTTTTTTTTTCAAAAATGTATTTACAGATTTGTACAAAAATACAAAAGTGATTGAAATCTGTTAAGTCCTATCTAGTTTTAAACATGGAGCTATTTTTTTAAATAGTTTCATTCATTTTCATGGTTTATTTTTCTGCTCTGTTACATCTTTTAAAGTCTGTTTAGTGATATTCCATACTGTACACCTCTGAATAAAAATATGAATTAGTCACACTTTCCCCAAATTTGTTAGCAGATAAAAGTCAGGAATAAACTTGATAAAGTTTATAGATTCTTCTGCTTACGACCAACGTTTTAGAGGGCGGCAGGTCTGCATAGCAGCCTTTAAATCGTTTTCTAATCAATAAATTTTTCATTATCTGCTTTACAAATAAAAGAAACGGTCTTTATAGAACCCTATGGTACCAGTGTTCGGTACAGTACGGAAAAATCACCTTAAACGAATGGTCAAGTATATTTAAACTTTTAAAAATTCATTATATTTTTTAATAATGTCTTCTGGGAATAAAAAAAACTAAATTTAAACATGAGTCAAAGATAAACATCCCAATCTTTATACATGGATATTACTTTTCCCATTTTTTTAAATTTGTTTATACATTTGATTTTAAAGTGGCGTGTCCAGATGTGCACTTTGAAAAAATTTTAATAAACCGAGATTGGCAGATTCTCCAGAAAAACGTTTCTCTCGCTTCCATCCGTAGCTCCATCATCGGTAGGACCCGACCCAGCACCAGAACGGCTTCAGATTTTCTTTAGTCTCTTAAACACATGATTGTCCAGTGAGTAGATATACAGTACAAGATAAACCCCTGTGTGAGATCACAACTATACAGAACAGAATCAGCCAGACAGTTTGTACATCTATAGAACACACTATTCAACTCGACATTTAAACAGAAAATACTCAATCTTTTCTTCTTAGTTTTCTCATGGAGATGTCCTGCAGATAAAAATAATGAATAGGTGCTGTCCTTTTCAATTTTTCCCCCCTTATTGCATGCGATTAAAAAACACAACAAATAAAACRATGAACAGGAACAAGTGCTTCAGAAATACAAACAAACAAACCCAGATCTAAAATAATGTGGTAGGTTGTGTAAAATGTAAATAAAAAACAGCATGGTGTGACTGCAAATCTCAGGACCCCTTAAACACAAAATTGTAAAATAAAAGCTTAAAGCTCCATCAGGCAAAGATGAAACTGTATTTGCTGCTGTCTGCATGCCTGAACATAAGACTTTCTGAGGTTTACAAATACTAGAGTTCTGTTTTTCATYGACTTTTTACAAAACATCCATGTTTTTTTAGAAATGGGCTGTAAAATTTGTAGTCAATTCACAGCTTTTTACCCTCTCTGTCTTACACAGTGTCAGTTCTGCAGATTACTATCTATCTATCTATCTATCTATCTATCTATCTATC